CCGCGCAATGTGCCGCGCGCATCCTCGGACGCACGTAAGTTCCGTCCCCCCACTAACCCTGACCACATAGGTGTACAACTTTTGGACAACAGTAAACTCATTCAAAACTTAGGGTAGAAATTTTCTTAAACTCCGTATTCATGGTTCCACACACAGTATTCTTTTCTACACAAAAGCAAATGTACTACATTAACTTCAGACCTCATGAAATAAATTCTGCAATAAACCCGGCCTCACAGGTGCATGCCCTGTAGAGATGTGTAAATCCCTACAACTACCCAAGGAGCTAACCTTTCGAAGTTAGTTTTCATGGCCATACACAACCCAAATTACACAGTTTCTTCGACTAGTATTATTATTAGAGAAGTATTTGATTTGGAAACATCGGAGCACTCTTCATGGCTACGCACAGCCCCATTCCATATCCCAAAAAAATTGATGGCTGCTACAGAAGTGTCAGGAAAGAGGCTCAGGTGATAAAGGCCTATAATGACAATCAGAAACTCGTGTGGCACTGTCCCTCACGGCTAGGGCCCTCAGCGCACGCAATAGCGTGCGTGGCCGCCTGGTGCCCTTATGAAGAGACGAATTAAAGAGTGCGCCATAAATATGGTAACAACTTTTCGGACCTCCGTAAGTTCCTTGTTTTTAGGGTTTCTCCAAGGCTGTATCTTTCCTTATGTTTATGATATACTCCAGGCCACATATCTACTTCGGTACTCTCAAGTCACTAGATTTCGAAAAACGGTGGGGTCTCACAGACATCCACCAACCGTTACGTTTTGCGCGCATTTGGTGAATCCTTTTCCTGGATCGCTCCTTTTTTCAACATTTCTTACATGACAGTCTCTTGAATCGCGACGTGTAGAAGGTCAATGACAAACCTCAACATGGTCGTCTTGTCTTACATACGACCCCTTTTTTGAATACAGTGGCTTGGGAAGGAGTACACTGCTTAACCTGCAGAAACACGAGAAAAATGACTGCTGGTTTGTTTGTATGTTCTAACCGGATGCGAAGAGTTTAACCCAAGTAAATACATTGTCTCCGAATAGGTTTCGGAAGCTTTATAAGCTTTTTGACGTGAAGAAGTTGAAGGGAAAAAACAAATGCCATGCGCTACTTTAGCGCGGCACGCGCTCCGACACCCTTTTATCTGACTAAAGGGTGTTCAGCGTGGAAGAAATGTTGAGATCACATTGTATACAAATAGTTCACACTACGAGTGCTGAAGCCGCTGAAAAAAGTCAGATCGCCTCTCGTAGCCGTTTTTCCTCTCTCATGATGGTTTGAGCTAGAATATCTACCATCAGAGCGATATTTAAAAAAGAAAAGCGCGAAGTACTATGAACCTCTTTACCAAGGATTTTTCGAAAGGATGCAGCTGAGGGTCAAAGATTTTTGTAGGGATTTTTTGAAAACCACGACGCACTCGCTCACGAATGGGAAAAGATCAAGAGCGGTGCTGAGAAAATGTTCGCGACTTTATCCCGGCTTCCAAACTTCCTATGAATTTCTTGAACCACACTGTTATGGGTCGCTGGGTATAGTCCACACTAGAGAGGAAAGCCTGCGCTTCCAAACGCGCCACAGTTGCTGCTCCTGAGAAATCACTAAAAAAAAGTCCGGGCTGGAGTTTCTCAAGAAACTCTGCCGTCGATGAGTGACCGACGCATCTTCGAGCTATAATTAGTACAAGAGACGGTTATATTAGATGACCATGTGTTCGTTTTGCAGATACGTTGCGTAGCAAATAGTTCACATGAATTCACGATGCATCGATAAAAACTGCGGCCTTGTAGCAAAATTCTTTTGTTACCATATTTATGGCAGACCCTGTACAAGAGAAGTTATGGAATTTCGGGTTACCTTTTCCTTTTAGATAGCTGGTTTTTGTGCAGAAATGTGAAGAGGGTCCTTTTCGAGATTTCCTGGTGTGGTCGACGTCTATATCACTGGAAGACACCAAAAATCACCATTTTCACTCCTACGTAGTGCTTGCGTATGTTGTCGTGAAACGCATCTTGCAACTTGATAGTAATGCACTTCAATGTTGTTTGCACTTCCCGGATAGAAGGAAAGACACTATTTCTAAGAGGTGTTTCGCGACGGACTACCAAAGGCCCAGTATGCCCGAGGATCGCGCCATTGTATTTACTTGTAGAATTGCTGTGACGTTCCACACAGGTTTCAGCGCTTTCAGACATAAAATAGACTCGAAGACGAAGATCGCGGGCATCCATCTCACTTCATGGATAAGGAGGAATTACCGCACATCATCTATTCGGACCATGCTAATCTAAAAGAGTAGCAAAGAGGTTTTAGTCTCAATAAAACACCAACGAACATTTATATTACATGTAGTTGGAAAGTCTAATCCATAAGGGAAATAGTCCTGCATGAACTGAGTGGTGCGAACAAAGCAGTGGACCACTGCCGGAATTCTGTTCGCTACTCTTAGAACAAAACGTTCTGTGAATTTATCGCACTTGGAATGAGTATTGAAAGTTCTCTGATAGTTGAGTGAGAAGACGGCAATAGCCTGGGGGAGACTCCGAAAACCAGAGCATCTATGCTCAGAGAGTCATGCTCTGCGTGCGGTAGAACGATCGACGAGTACTTTACATTGTGAATATGGCTCAAATGGGCAACGCTAAATTATGCGCACATGTTCGCTTGCGAGGACCCACTCTTTCATTGTCAATGGGTCAATTGACAATAAAAGAGTTGGTGCACTTTTGCGAGCATGTGTGTATAATTTACAGAAGAACCGTACCCAAATTTTCGCAAGACTGTGGAAGGCTGCATCTTGGGCCTTGTTTGGCCCTGATTTTGAGCTGCCCGACTACCGAATATTAGAGTCACGCAATGTTCATTAGGTTAGCTTTTGAGAACCGCGACAATGTCAAGAATTCTGTCCTGTTTCTTCAAGTCACACCCGCAAATTTTTTTCGGGAGGGCAACATTTTTTGTACAGTAGATGGAGTGTTGGATTCAGATAGTCGTCAGTTATCTGGTTAAAGATTTATTGCTTACCTTTTCTAATGAACCTACAGCCAAAGATGACCTTCCATATCAGTCAAAAAATAAGAGTCTCGCTTTTCGAAGCACGAGCTATTGAAGGAGAGATAGGTAATAAAGCTTCGCCACCGCACCGAAGTGTTGCAGAGATTCCCATATATAATACAAATTACTGGCTTCTTTGCCCCGATCAGTGATTTGAGTGCGTGACAAAAAGCCCAGTGAGATAAGGAAGTGCTGATGTACTTTCCGTAAATAGAGAGTCGCTGGATCTAGTATCATGGTTTAGGCGGTGAGTACTGTTGAAATTTTTGAGCCTTCAAGACTTTTAATATTTCCCCATTTCATACGCTCCTCACTGCTCAGCTGTACTGCTGAGCCATTTCTATGTTTGTTTGCCTACAGGCATACAGTGGAGTGGTCGTCATCGTAATCGTAGAAGCAGCATCACGAACAAGTGCACTTCAGGATAATAAGGATAAGAATAAAAAAGCTTCACTCCGGAGTTGATGAAGTCCCATTAAGTCTAGCGTCAGCCCGAAGTCACAGAAACCCACTGAGAGTCCTAACTTGTATGCGACAAGCGTGAATGACAGTCGAAATAAAGCGCCCACTTTGACGAATGTCGGAAAAGTTAGAAACCTCCCAAATGGAAGGAAACTGTGCAGAAGTCGACGGTCCTGAGAAGCACCCCACTTCCTCAAAGCGCAAGCATTACGACCACGCCACGTCCATGTCTCATACCTAACCGTCGCATGCCGTTTCTCACCTATACTACCTATCAACCAATCTTCAGTTAACATAATCTTTGTGAAAGCAATTTGTACTTCGAAGTAATTCACATGGTTACGAACAGCACTTGAGGACATGCCAACTTGGTTGTCATTCGAGTTCGCTATTTGAATTCAGACTTTCGAATGTCTCGAATGCTTGGTTTGCTCCAGCGATCCCTATCTGAGTCGTTCCTTCAGTAGAAAGATGAACTCAGACTGCAAAAGAAGAAAGAAAACAATTATGAAAGCTCCGCGTAAAAGAGAACATCAGGGCGGGTGGGTTGGCGAGTGAACGTTAGGAAGTGAAGTATTTCATGCGCAAAACAGTGCCGATGGCACTGACACCGCAACAGTATCGTTTTAAAATTATCTCCTGCTTGTTATGGAATATAACAGTCTTCAGTCGTGTCGCCCCGACTTTAACATTCAACACTGAGGGCTTGAGTGCAGAGAAAAAAGGTAGCTGACTTTACCTGTGCCCTGAGCTCCAAGAACCTTTTTTGATCTAAGCCCAAGGAGGGGAGTGCCGGGGTGGCTCGTGCAAAAAGCTAGGATGGTGTACGAATCGAATATTCAGTTGACCCAGCTTGTTCTATAGACATAGCACGATCCCAGTACAGATCGGAATCACAGCTTTGGGATGTCCGCTTCACCTTTATCATTTTACACCACAGTACTTAACCTACTCCATAATCCTACCCACCAAGTTACTGCTTCATATAAGGAGGATATGTAGGATAGAGCTGGGTTTTCCATATCACTACCCTTATCGTAATCATAAATTTTGTGGACGGAAGAATCGACGCACCAAGTTACTGCTTTATGAATAAGAGAGATTATTTGAGAAGAGTTTCACATGTTTTTCAGCTTCGCGATGAGATTTCTGCTCTTTCTGATTCTAATACGGTTCCATTACGCTAGTGGTGATTCAGAATGTGGGGTAAGTGAAACGTGTCTCACACTTATTACTGTTGAGCCAATGTAATCTGGTAGAATTCTTTACAGATTCCGCTCCTTGAAAAAGAATGTAACGAAGACAAAGATTGTGCAAAGGATTCTAAGGGACATTACGAATTTCCTGGGACCATGACTTATTGTAACAAAGCAGGCGGTCACGGAGCACCATGACAAACGAAGGCGGTCATACAGGCGATTTGAGACCAGTCGTTGTTTAAGATTCGAGGGCGAAATTTCCACAACATCATCATGTCTTGAAAACCTGTCTTCCTCACACTTGATCGTATGGCCATACTTAATTCGTCTGATATGAATGGGACACAACATGAAACTTTTGTTTCCTCTTCCTCCTGACGATTTCGATTTCTTGCGACCGCCCATCGCTTGTGTCGGAGTGGGGATCTTGTGGCTTCGTAGCCGTTTGCCTATGCTATGCCGAGCGCCCGTTGTGTCGACCCTGTCTTCTCTTCGCCTCGTGAAGAAATTTGTGGGGAGGTGTGCAACATATTTCTTATGATGGCTTTTTTAGTGATAGATGGAGGGCGGAATGAAAAAAACTGTCATGTTTTATTAGTAGGTTTACGATACTACTCAGTCCTAAAGCCACCTGCATTTAGTCTAAGCTGGACACTGAGGAGAGTGACTGTCGGTTTTCCCGTGCAAGCTTTATATGCTCCGATTGTTTGTTGAACCCATAAAACAATCGTCCATATGCCAATAGTGTAAAGTGGGTCTACGCTCTTCAATAGGTTGCACAATTTCCTTTTGTAAGTAATGTTAGACATGAATGCCAGTGGAGCAAGCTCTTGTCCCATCCTCTAATCTGTTGTCTAACATTACTTACAATAGGTCTAATCTTGAAATAACGCGGGTTATCCATGGTTGCGCCTCCCTCTGATCACTCGAGTTAGTTGAAGAAATAAGAAGTAGGAATGGCAGAAGCGATCGAGAGCAGATAACCGGCGACTGGTATTACACCACCGACCACTGCAGGTAGTTGAAGAACGGCAAGGGCAATCGCCAGACCGAATCGAGAGTAGGGTAGCAGTGACACCAGAGCAAGCAGTCACTGTTTTTCACACTCGATAAATGGGCACGTTGGCAGAATGAGAGGTAGTTACAGTTGTCATGGTTCAGATATGAAATAGTTGTGTCAGTGGCAAGCGAATCCTTGAGTATGCTGATTCCCATAATCTCACTCTCGTAAACACAATGTTCCATGAGCGTCACTCTTTCCTCATCACTTTCTAGAGCAGCAAAACCAGAACGTAAACGCTTTCCGCAGGCGCCGCTATCGAGGGCGATGACAAATGCGAAGCCGTAGACGATCGCCTCGCGAGAGCCAACTAGGGACGATTAAGGGTGGGGGGGGGGGGGGGGGNCCAGCTGTATTCACTCGAATCCACTTCTGTCTGTTACCATTGTTGATGAAACAAAAGAAGGTGCTACCAAAGCAGTTGCATCGGTTGCTCTCTTTGAGCTAGGCTGAAGAAAACCTGGACGGTGGAGGATTGATCGGCAAGCGTGACTGTGGACGGATAACGTCAGAAAGAAAATAACCTATTACCTGTCGTCCGGTTGATTCCCCCGATGTCTCCGAGCGGGCGTCAGTAACCTGTCCATTCGCCCCTGTCACGAACCAGAGTAGTCCAGTGGATCGTACTTGCTCGATGGACATGGGGCAAAACATTCCTTTCAGAGCTCCCGTGGAAGAGTCTGACTATCGGCCCGGCGGATCCAGCTGCTAACCGCCCTGGCCGAACAGTCATTACTGTATTACATGACGTGCCCAGCCCATCTGATTTTCGACTTTGGCGCAATCAACGGCACCCTGATCTTTGTTCGTCGACGGGGCCCGGAACTCGGAACGGATTCCCTTATGCACCCTTATGCACCTGTGAAAATTCCGAGCATCGTCCTCCAAATAGCTCGATGAATGACGCCAACTGCACGCTCATCTTGCTTTTTTAGATTCCAAGTCTCTGAGCAGGTCAAAGCAGGAAGGACAGCAGTGTTGAAAAAGCGAGTTCAAAATCGAATAATCTTTGTCTTCTCCACTACTCCCACGGTGTTCTTAAATGCTCCCCACGCCGCGCGTTTACTTGTGCTCAGCTCCAGAGCTAGGTTTTTTATCATGTTGACTTCCCGATCTGGACACAGATAGCTAGAACATTCAGAGATATTCGTTCCGTTTAGCGTGAAAGTGCATCAGGAACCATTCCGTTTTCTATAGAGATCGTTTTCGTTAATTTCAGTTGTAAGTCAACCTTTACATAAGTGCTGTTAACTCGGCCAGCATTCGTTCCGTTTGCTCGATGTTTGGTGTTATAAGCACGGTGTCGTTCGCAAAGCGGAGATGATGTAAGTGGTGGCTGCCGATCTTCACTCCCGCTGCCTTCTCTTTCCACATGGTGTTCTCGAAAGCGGCACTGGGCGAGATGGTATCGCCCTGCCGATACCACTTCTTTATAGAATGGCGAGATCCTAGTCGTGAAGTTGTTGTAGAGCTCACGAAGCATCAAGTGTATTGAGTCGGAACACCTTAATCGCCCAGGGCTTCGATTACCGCTTCTGTCTCGACGGTAATAGAGGCTTTCTTCAAGTTTACGAACGTAAGACATATTGGCATTCTGACTCTCGCGATACTTCAGTGAGTCCTGTAACGGTGTAGATGTGATCGATTGTACTGAACACTCCGCAACCTTGCTTGGCTGTCGCTCAACTGATATTCTGCCAATCCTATTAAGGACGACTCGAGTAAATAGTTTGCAGATTACATTTAGCAGGGAAATTGGGTGATACTTGGCAATGTCGTCTGGATCTATCATCTTACAGAGCAACACAATCTTGCAAATTTAGCACGAAGTGGGCACTTTGCAATCCGACAGGTATCGCGTGAAAAGGCGGGCCAGAGTTTTGACAATGACTGGCGGAAAGCTCTTTAGATGTTTTGCTTTAAACCCGTTGGGACCGGTCGCCGTACCACATCGCATCGATGTGATGGCATGTCGAATTTCGTAAGGGAGAACTGAAGGGACGATGTATCTCTTGCCTAAAATGGTAGGTAGGCAGGTGGACGTTTCTGTCGAAAAGAACAGAGACGTCCCTGATGACCACCTTCTCCCTTGACCTTCGTGATGCAACAGCAGTTCGGCAGGACGGCGTAGAGAAGTCCCTTTGGTCTACAAGTGACGAAACTCCAGCGGGCTTTGAAATGCTCTTCCCAGCCTCGGCGGCTCCGTCAAAAGTGTTGCTCTTATCTCTTTTAGATGTTCCTTTATCGCTTCTCTGCATAGCTTCGCAAGTTCGGACGTTTGTTGATGATTTCCTATAGCTCGCGCGATTCCTCGCTCGCGTACCATTTCGAGAGTTTTCAAAGTGAGTTGTCTCTCCTATAGCTCGCGCGATTCCTCGCTCGCGTACCATTTCGAGAGTTTTCAAAGTGAGTTGTCTCTTTAGTACGTGTAGACTCTTTGCTTTCGTAGCATTATCGTAGAGATGTTCAACAAGCCGGCTCTATTCTACATCCCCATTCACTTGCGAGGTAAGCGATGTGGTCCCAATTGAGGGAGGTCTTGAAGCTCCGTTTCTTGAAGTTCGCAACTCTTTCCGCGTACAGAAAAGCGTAATCTGGGCGGAGACAATGATCTAATCCCGTGTAGAACTTCGGAACGACAGCGTCATCAGTCAGGCAAAGCTTTCGATTGACGGCATTACGATCTATTTTACTATGGAACTGTCACCAGATGTCTCCCATGCCCACCGGGACTGAGTGGGCTTCTGGAGCTGCAAGTTATCATAGATAGTGTGGCAGACATGATAAACTCGAACAACCTTTCATTCTGCTCATTTCATTCCATTCGTGAATCCCGATTCGAGCTCTTCAGACGATCTTATAGGAAAAATTTGGCTTTGAAATCACAGACGATGACCTCGAAAAAAAGTATGGTCTTCTCTTCAGAGCCTNGACTGAGTGGGCTTCTGGAGCTGCAAGTTATCATAGATAGTGTGGCAGACATGATAAACTCGAACAACCTTTCATTCTGCTCATTTCATTCCATTTTTTCGTTCTGAAGAGCTCGAATCCCGATTCGAGCTCTTCAGACGATCTTATAGGAAAAATTTGACTTTGAAATCACAGACGATGACCTCGAAAAAAAGTATGGTCTTCTCTTCAGAGCCTTACCAGATCCATATCGCAGCTCCCTAAGGGGAAATGACATTTTTTATTACTGTTTTGCCATATGAATACCTACGCGTAGCCTGCGAGGCGTCATGTGGGGGTCCACTCTTAGCCGTGTAGACATGCAGACATGCCGTTGAAGTTATAGTTGTATACATACATTTTTCTCTTTTGCAAATGTAACTGAAAAGGATAATGAAAACTTATAGCAAAATTACACCGAACAGTAGGGAAACGTTGGCATGAGCTGTCGGACCATAGCAACCGTCATCTGATGGTTAATACGAAAGCATGTGACAGGGAACAAGCTGTTTTTTNTTTTTTGATAGGCAGTCCTTGTCTTTAGTCCAGAGTGCAGTGATGTACCTGGGACTCAAGCCGTCATATAAACTTTTCATACCTGGAAATTAGACTTTGCATTGGAGCACATGATGAAGCACTGAAAAATTCACAAAACCTGTTTTTTTGCATAAATAGAAGTGATGAAGTGGACATGTCTACACGCCGCACGTTTCGCCCACCCACTGTGCTGAGGTGGTAGGCCAGCAGGAGGCAGAAGGAAAATAGGGGGAAAAGAGGCTCTACCACATAAGTCTTGTCGATAAGGCGACTGATAATTGGCACAGCGTAAGGCAAAGACCGCAACGAGGCGTGGCTGATACAAAAGTTGCTCATTATGCTGATGTCAGCGAGAAACACAAAACGCTTGATGCGAATGATAAATTTATCGCATTGCCACATCGAGGATATCGATGAAATTTCCCGCACCATTGATTAAAATAGCCCCCTTCTACCAGATCGCGTATGAGCACTAAAACCAGGTTACTTCGAGAGTATCTCAACAGTAGAATTCGGAATTTTGCAGCTACGCGTCCTGCCAGTACATGGCCTCGTACAGAAGAGACCAGTTAGAAAACGGAAATAGTTTCGAATACTTGGTTTGATAGCTGACAAAAGGAAATGGCGGGGCTGAATCCGACAGCATAGTTGACAGAGTCTTTCAATCAGGTCGACACGAAAAAGGTGCTTGGAAATTGACAACGGAGTATTGTAACTTCATTGTGTACGGAGGACAGTCCTGGGGAGTAGTATGTACAGTATGAACACGTGAAGCACTCTACCAGTCAGTGTGGCCATTTCGCGGTTGCAGCACCACTGATACATTACAGCTAGCCTTTTCTGGAAAGATATTGGGAGAAACTAGCTTTTCGTTCTCAGAAGCGGCCTCCGATCGCGTACCGCGTGAGGTCGTATTTTATAGGCTGCAGCAACATGGTATTCCTGATGATCTAGATAAGTAGATGTGCATACTCGACTTGAACGCGAAGAGTCTCGTGCAAACAGCAGCAGGTATTTCTATGCTACTTCCCATTTCCGTCGCGGTGCAACCAGACTCTGCGCTTTCCCCATTACTATTCTTTTTCGTCCTGGATGCCAGCACACAAGATCTTCTGATCCCAGTGTCGTGGACGCTTCTTCATGTCGAGGACATAACGCTGGTCTGGAGGAGAAAAAGTGGGACTTGAGCAGCAGGTACAAGCTTGGTCCGATCATCTGGTAGAGTTCGTACTTCGGGTGAACTTCATAAAGGGTGAGAATATAACCACAGAGTCAGAAGGACATGGCAGTATCAAGATTGACGGCACTGAGCTTCCTCGTATATCCACCTTCCTGTTCCTTAGATCGGCGATCGCGTCTAACAGTAGTCTGGCTTCCAAAGTCGAGTCATTTGTAAATGCTTTGTTTGAATGACGCTGGGTGATTGTCGTTTCTGCACCAGAGAATATAGACCACGCGTAGGGGTTGTGGAAACCGGAACGCTACGATGGACGACTAGAGCTACGCATATGAGCCGTGTTCGTAACCATGCAATAAAGAACGTTTCAGAGTAGCCCTTGTAACTGATAAAATACGCGAAGCCCGTCCTCTATGTCACGGCCATAACCTACAGTCGGCCAAAAACAGTGTGCGCAAGATTGGCATCGACCTCGTCGTCTCCTGAAAACGGTCTTTAGCATGACCAGAGCAACGTTTTTCTTGAAGGAGTCGGGAGCAGTTGACTGGATCCCGCTTCTAACAAGGGAAGGATACTTGGTAGCAGCGACCATTCGAAATCAGGCGTATAACGCCGTAGGTGGTTCTAAACTCTGATCTCGAATCTGTGTTCAAAATCTGCTAAACGGTTCTGGGAACAAAGTTGCGGGACTAATGCCTACCTGTTTTATAACACCACCAGTTGGGCTATGCATGAATTGTATGTCCATGACCGCTCATCTGTGAGCTTAAAAATTCTGCAGGTACTTTATCAGGTAATAACGGCTTCCCGTGCAAACACATGGACAGGCGCGAGCACTTCATATATAATGAGGATACTGAAAAAACCACCGAACGAGCAAAGCCGTAGAGGTGTACCAATGGTGCAGCTGATAGGGTTGTGGACTGATAGATACTACATCAGGATCCGATTCCTTGGTGCATGTGCTCGCTTTGCTTTCCCATGAAATGCGTCCTAAGGCTTTCAGTACGTTCTTGTGCTCGGTTCTGAACATGAATGGAGCTAACTCCTCTTTGAGGAACACTATAGAGGTGATACAAAAAGGTTTTTTTCGCCGCTCACCGACCGAATAAGGGTGGAGGAGCTTCATTTGAGCGGAAGAGGAATTTGAAGTTCTTGCTCAAAACAGAATTCAAAGTCTTCAAAGAGGAAAGTGTTACATGATTCAACGGTCAAAACATTCTCCATTATGTTACGGTAAATATCCTTCCCGAAGGTGGAGCCATCGCACTCGCTAAAGGATAACGTGAGGCCATCTAGAAAGGGCCGAAAGGTAATTAAGAGCCACAAACATGCTTTTCGATGACGAGTGAACAAGCTCGTTATCAACTGTGAGGAAGGCGAGTGCGTGGAGGGCGATCACAATGATTCTCTTGGACCGCTTGATGGTACAGCGTCGGCCCATCGTGAGAGAAACCCTGCACGTTGCGGGGATGTAGAAAATCCAAAGTGAACATAGCTTTCAAAGAGTGGCTAAGGCTTCAGTTTTTTCTTCTTCAGTCTTCACAGCTTCAGTTTTATGGTGCTGGTAGAAGAACCCATACGCTTCTGTAGCTCGAGTACCACAAGAAGCCGTACTTCCCGTGCACGAAAAACAAGTTTTGTTCCATCCCGTCCGACTGCCACCTTGGGAAATTATGGGTGGGGGAGATAGACCATGATCTTCCGAAGTAGTTTATTTTTGACAAAGTGTGATATCTATTCTGGTTCTAACTATCAGGTGCAAGACAAGCGGGCCGATCTGTTTGCCTTAGCGGATAAGTTGAAAGAATAAGTCATCATAAAATTAGTATGGGGATCTCATCAAAAGACAGCAATTTCCAATGGATGACACTTAAAATCAACGATGATTTCCTCATAGAGGCAGTTTACAAAACAAAACAACTCCTGACATTCAGTGGATCGTCATATGCGCACATAAATCAATCAAAAATTGTCAATTGTCAGTTTTAATTGTGCAAAAACTTTGAAGTGCGAACAGCTCGATTTGAGGACGACATCCTTTCCAAAAAGAGCTTCGGTCAGATGAGTCATGCTACCGGGAAGGTGGGTTCAGGGTTTCCAGTGCTGTGAATGCAGAAGGCTGCCAAAAATTCATAAACACTATCTCTAGTGTTCGGAGAAGAGGAGCTTTTCTACCTGATCAGTATAATAAAAAGGTGTCAACCTCGATGTCATGCCTATGTCACTATCCCACAAGCTGCGCCAGTGCTGCACTTCTGCGGCCTTGCTCGGTTCGGTGATCTGTCAGTGCAGTAGCATAACACAGGGAGGAATTGGCCTCGTAACTTTTTCCCGGAAGCGTTTAGCAGATTCGAAGCACAGATTTGAGGTCAGTGTTCGAAACCACCTACGGCTTTACACATCGCATAGCCGGCTTTACACATCGCATGAATGGCCACTTCGACCAAGTATCCTTTCCATGATGATGATAATGATGAAAAGTATGGCCAACCAGTCGTTGACCATGGTGTTTGAGTGTCACTATCCACAGACAATGAGTAAGGTAAGGATCACCTCTCGTGTAAATAGCTCCGAAATCAGAAGAAATCAAGTGAATTCAGTTTAAAAGATAGTCTGTGGGAGCAAATCCACTGATTAGCCTGGAAGTATCTCTTCTTACCTTTATCATCTTCTTCTTCCTCCTCAGCCTTCACACCGCAGTGAAGCGAGGTCCGCTTTTCTGGAGTACTGCTGCTTCCCCCGATTGTATGCTTGTTGGAATGGAGACTCAATAGTTTTATGTCCTCATGCAAAGTGACGCCGCTTCAAACTTTCCTTTGATTGCTTTTCAGGTACATCCAAGCTGGACTAATTGACACATACTCTCGTTATTCTTGCGTAGAATATGGTTGTGCTTCGCTTGTAAATGTGGTCTGAGTGCGTGCTCCCACTCGTCTGAAGTAGCAATTTCTTTTCCTACACTCCAAGGCGGGCTCAAATTTTTTAGGTCAAAGGTCAGCACTCTGCATCGTAAGTTGCGAGTGGTCGTCCAACATTTGATCAGACCTTTATGCAAGGCAATCTTATAATTTCTTGTCGCACGAGACACCAATCATCGAGCATTATCTAGACCAGGCTGCACTCACATGTGAATAACTACCAGACTTTGGCCAGACGCTATTGACTAGACTTGATTACGGGTTATGAAGACAGATTTGAGCGGAACCTCGGCGTTGTCAGCTTTGAAAGTGCCTAGCTCATTCAAGTGGTGTACTTTGAAGGAATGGGAAACTCTGAAGAGCTGCCTGCTGCTGCTTCTACTCCACACTTTGTATTTGATGTTGTAATGCGCACCCTCTGTTAGTTTTTCATAGCCCCGTGCTGTTCTAAAGAATATGGTACCACCTCACGCGCAACGCGACCTTTCTTAGGTCGACAGAAGAGAATCGCATTGATATCTGCTCCTTGATATGTCTTCCTGGGAGAGGTGAGCTGTATGGCATCGGTGGTGCTGCAATCGGCGACAAAGCATTGATTGATGAGAAACCTTACGAGTTCCCAAGTGCGGTCGTCTACAGAAGATCTTAATACTGTGCGGAAGTAGGCGAGTTGGGCAACAGCTTCTGCAGCCGCAAGTGTCCACATCGGGGTGACAATACTCTGCCGTCAGCTCTCAGGCACCTTTTATAATCTAATGACATTTTTGACCATGCTGCGGAATTCTAGCACCGTGACTTCCACACATCAGCTGCCAATTCGTCACAGCCCTTGCCTAGCTGAATGTCATTTCCTTTGAGGCTATTTCCGTTTTCTCACTGTTCTCTTCTATACGGCAATGCTAACCGGCAAGTCACAAGATAGAAGATAGATAGATAGAATGGACAAACGTTTTGCTGCTTCTCGCGGTCTCTTGGAAGATAGCAATTTTTATTGTTCAAGCCATTCTCAATATCCTCGATCTAGCGATGGCGAGCTTTAGCAAGACACTGAATGTATCAATCCCCATCACACATTTCGAGACTCTCGCTGACATCAACATAATGAGCATCTTTTGCATCAGCGACAGACTTCTCTGCATCCCAACAGTGCTACAGCTATCAGTCCTTTTTTTCTTCTTCTCCCTAGCGTTAATCCCGCACCGTCGCAGGGTCCGCTGTTCCTGTCGGCCATCTCCATTTCATTCTATCTACGGCATCCTCTGCCGTCACCTTGGCTTCGGAAAGGTCCTTCATGGTCACGTCCCTCCATCTCTTTTCTGTGGCTCTTCCTGGTCGCTTACCTTGAGCCTCAAATTCCATTGCTTCCCTCACTGGATGGCTCTGTGGTCTTTTCAGTACATGCCCGAACCATCGCAGACGCTGCTCTCTCATCTTCAGTCGAATAGGGGCTGTTTGCATAGCCGTCCTGAAGTCTTCATTTCTGACTCGATACAACCGCAGGCCCATCTGAGCATTCTCATTTCAGCGGAGTAGAGCTGTCCTCCATGGACTTTACTTACGGGCCAACACTCGCTGCCCTAGAGCATCGTGGACCCTACCACTGTCCGATACACCTTTNCTCTGGGGTCCTGGAGCACCGACGATCGCAAAGGATACCGGTGGACACCCTCCACTTTGTCCATGCCGCACTTATTCGGGACTTTACCGCCTGGTCCACGCTACCATCAGCGGCTAGATCACTCCCCAGGTAGCGGAGGTCCTGGACCTTTTCGATGGCTTCCCCGCGACCGTCGACAATTGACTCCGTGCCCTCCTCGGAGCTGAGGAACTTAATCTTCTTCACGTTCAGAAGGAGTCCATTTTCCGCCAGTACCCTCTGCCAAATCTGGACTTTGTCCTGGAGTTCTTCCTTGCTCTCCACTATCAGAGCGATGTCATCAGCGTTGAGGATGGTCTTCAGGGGTCCATCCATGAGTCCTTCTATGATGACGTCCATCGTGAGCAGGAGGAGGAACGGGCTCAGAGTTGATCCCTGGTGTACCCCAACGGTGACCGTGTGGGGTGCGTATTGTTGTAGTGGAGCACCGGAGAGATCAGATGTTCTGGAACCTTTCGTTTTCAGAGCGCTCTCCAGAGGACTTGTCGCGGGAGAAGGTTGAAAGCCTTCTCCAGGTCGAGAAGGCTAGAGGGGTCTCCACTTTTCTTGATACTTATCCATACTTGCCTAGCTATAAATATGGCATCCGTTGTAGACCTTTGAGGCATGAAGCCAAACTGCTCCTGTGAGATTGGGACCAATTCTCTCAATCTTGAGTCGACGAGCCGCTCGTACAGTTTCATCGTGTGAGCAGTCAACCTGATCCCCCGGTAGTTGGAACACTTCATCGCGTCCCCCTTCTGCTTGAAGATGGGAACGATAGCACTCCTCCTCCGCGCATCTGGGATTCTTCCTTTAAGGGTCACAGTGTTCAGGAGTCGGGTGAGCTATTTTATTCCGTGCTCTCCGAGCGCCTTCCGAGCGCCTTCCACGCCTCGATCGGTACTCCATCCGGACCAGGTGCCTTCTCAACCTTTATCTTCCCCATTTCTCTGCGCACCTCATTGTCTGTCTAGAGGTTGATGGGTCCAGCCGTTGCATCTAATTGGGAGCTGTTTTTACGGGCGAATTCTCCGTTCAGGAGCTCGTCGAAGTATTGCTTGCACCTGCGCTTGACCTCGCTAGGCTTCCTCAAGATCGCACCCTCGCTGTTCCTGTTGGAATTCACTACCCCGATGTCCTGAACGGCGCGATGACGCGCCTTCGGTAGGCGGAAGACGAACTCCTCTCCTTCTCGACTGCCGAGTTTGTCATATAAGGCGTCCATTTCCGTGTTCTTCGCCATCGTGACAGCAGCCTTGGCGAGCCTCTTGGAAGTTCTGTAGGCAGCCAGATCCTCCGGAGCTTGTCTCCTTTACCAGCGCTTGCAAGCCCATTTCTTATGAACCACAACTCGTTGGACTTCATCATTCCAGAACTATTCTTCCTTGTCCTCTCGGAAACCATCTCGGGTTCCCGCCAGCGTTTCCTTTGCGCATCGCAGGATGACCTTCACAGCGTTGCTCCAGATCTGCTGGATCGGCTCTTCGGGATTTGAAAGTCTAGCTTTAGTACCTTCTCTTTGAGGTCTTCTCTTTCGACTCGGTTCAGCTTTCACCGTCGGATCCTAAATTCCGTTCTAGTCCTTGATTACTTAGGAAGATCGATGGCTATGTCTGCTAGGAGAGACTTGTGCTGTGGAGCCAGGATGTCCTTTACAGTTTTGGGGGACGATCGTTTTACTAGCACATGATCTATTTCCGTTTCTTTCCCTTCACTGCTGTAGCTTACCTTCTGGGACTTCCTTTCCGCGAAGAATGCGCTGCAGACTGCCATGTCGTGGGCTATGGCTAAGGCAAGAACCCTCTCTCTCTCTTCGTTTCTGACACCTACTCCTCTACCTCCATGTGCCTCCCTCCTTTCATTGCCAATGTGCCCATTCAGATCACCTGCTATGGTGAGATAGTGCCCCTCCGGAACTGATCGGATGGCCTCGTCAAGGCATAGGTAGAACTCATCCTTTTGGTAGACGGGCCAGTCGGCTTGATTCGCGTACACAGATAATGTTGCATAGTACCCCTCCTTCGTGTCTATCCTCACAGATATGATTCGACTGCTGATCCTGTTGATGGTGGAGACAGAGTCTTTCGAGGGCTCCGCCACTGCTATGGCCACTCCATTCCGTTTGGTGTCTTCTCCGATGTGGAAGCGTTTGACACCCTCTCCGATTTCTCTGACCTTCGCTCCCTTCCCGCTGGTCTCCTGAAGGCATATGACTTGGATGTCCCTGCGCTTCATAAGATCAGCGATCTCCCGGGACTCCCCAGAAAGCAATCCCACATTAAAAGTCCCTATTCGAACTGACTTCTTTGACCGAGGTCGCTCACTCCTCGGTAGCCCTCACATACTGTCCACAGAACTCGGGCGGGGGTCCTGTGCGCCAGTTCCGGGTGACGTCCTAGCTTTATCACTGACACTCTTCGAGACTTTAGACATATTTGTTGTGACTGGTTTCTCCGTCAGCCGGCCTGTCAACCGGGCCTGACGCTGGTACCGATACCATTTTTGCTATTTTTGCAAGGCATGGAGTTACCTCGGTAGGTATCGAAATCGCACTTTTTTTAACAAGGGAAGGATACTTGGTCGCAGTGGCCATTAAAGATGAAATGTATGACCATGTAGGCGATTTCGAACGCTGATTTCAAATGAAGTGTTCCAAACCTGCGAAACGATTGCGGCAACAAAGTTACGGGACCGATGCCTTCCCTGTGTTATAGCACTGTACCGAACGGATCACAGAGTCGAGCAAACACAGTTCTGTGGCCTAGCAGCCAGTGTGGGTGGGCATGACATCAAGGTCCGGTTAATTGTTGCATATGTTCGTTTTGCTTTTCCATAGAATGCGCTCTAAACGCTTGCAAAACGTTTTTGGGCTCAATGTTGGTCATCTACAGGGCTTCCTCACAATTTAGGAATACTGGAAAGGTATTACAAGGAAAGTTTTTTTTGCCCTTCACCGGCCGAATGAGATGGACCTCTATTCGAACAAAAGACATATTCTGGATATTCGCTAAAATGGGCTCAAGAGGCATCAACAAGAAAGTTCCAAATAGTTCGTAAGATCAAACGCTCTTCAACACGTTACCAGCGAATCTTCTGAACGAATGTGGTGTCATCATACTTTATAAAGGATTTTCGTTCTCGCAGCATAACTCTCTCTAATTGTGAGCACCGTACTCGAATTGTATTATCGAAGCTATGGAAACAAGCCCGTTATCCTTTGCGTGGAAGTCGAGTCTATGAGAGGAGATCACAGTGATCCTCTGCGTTCGCCTGTTGAGGACAGCGACGATGGACGCGTAATGTCGCGAATGAAACCTCCGACAATTGTGGGGACATGAAGGTTCCGAAGTGGAACGTCGCCTTCAAGTTTGTGATCGGGCCCATGAGCTCCAACTTTATAGTGCTGGTAGAACAGTCCATAGCCTTCTGTAGTTTAAGCGTCAAAAAAAACCTCACCTCCTCGAACACGGGTAACACGTTTTGTATCATGACGACAGAGTGCCGTCTACGAAAATTATGAGGGAATGAGCTTTGTATCAGTCTATTATTGACAACTTCGATGTCTTTGTGGCCGCAACTATCAGGTGCAAAACAAGGGGTCGATGTGAGATGACTCATTGAGATTAGTGGATAAGTTGGAAGGATAGGTTATCATAAAACTAATATGAGAGTCCCATTGCACACAGCCATTTCCACTGGATACCGCTTCAAACAACAATGAAGGCCTATAGGGGGAAAATTCAAAACAATTCGTGAGTGGGTTAGGGTTTTGAGGACATCCGTTGTATCATGTCCCATCGCATCACCACGTTTACCTCTGAAAGGGCTCCTTGAGAGGACGTTTCTTTCAAGAATGAGCGGATGATCATATGTGCACACAAAGCGATGAACTAACGTTCTACAGTATTTCTTCAACAATGCCAGTTAATTTGTATCACTGCTTCAAAGCGCGGACAATATACCTAGAATGTGTGGACCGTATCCCTCCGAAAGAGGGAGGCGGTCAGATGAGTCATTGGACCGCCATCTACCGTAAGCTCAGGGAGCTGCAGAAGATTTCGTAACACCATCTTGACTGTCAGGGGTAGAGAGGCGTACATATTCGGTCGACAATGGTAAAAAACTTTTATTGGATCACCATTCCCCGGAGTCCTGAATTGTGAAGGAGCCCTTTAGATGCCCAACATTGAGCCCAAAAACGTTTTACAAGCGTTTAGGACGCATTTTATGGAAAAGCAAAACAAACGATTGCATCAGGGAATCGAACCTTGATGAGATGCCTACCAGCCTACCACCCTACACGCGAAGCCACCACTGCACAGTACTGTGTTTGCTCGACTCGGTGATCCGTTCGGTGCAGTGCTATAACACAGGGGAGGCATCGGTCCCGTAACTTTGTTCCCAAAATCGTTTCGCAGATTTGGAATAGAGATTTGAAATCAGCGTTCGAAATCACCTACGAGGATATACATCTCAACTTAAATGGCCACTGCGACCAAGTATCCTTCCCTCTAAGTGCAGACGTGAGCCTACACTCTTATCCGCTCGGCTATCCCTGCCTCTTCTACGGCTATCAGTCATCTTATCGAAAAGATTCATTTACTAGACCTTCTCCTTCTCGCTATTCGTCCATAGCCACGTTTGCCTGACAAACTTTCGCAGTTCAGGCTTTCGTTGTCTTACCTAACTCACAGCGAGCAACTAGAGCTATTGCTTCATCAACACGTTGCCGAATTTCCTCAACAATGGTGACAGACTGGGGCTATGATCGAGCAATCGCAGCCGCCACTGGCTATGACGCTGTAAAAGGAGATGAGATAACGTTTCCGTAAATTCGTGGCATGATAGCGAAGTCATGCGAGTCAGCGCATTTAAAGATTCGCTTACTACCGACGTTACGTGATATATATCCAAACCCACCACGACAACTGTTACGACCTTTCTTAGAGGAAATTCGCCCATTTAGGTCTATTGGAACAACAATAACTTTATATTGTAACCAGTTGGGCTACGCACGCTAATGCGCGCACCACATGCCCGCTACCGCTTACCTACGACTTGCTAGTGGGCCAATATGAACAGTATCGGTTCACTTCCCATTTAATAACTGTTTCCTCGCCACGCTCACTTGACATTCGCACTCTTCGTTGTGCCTACGTGAGGAAGGACGCACAAACGGGCATACAAACAGACACACAAAATTACCGCTCTATATATAGAGACAGTCGAACGCCCGGCCTACGCCGGACTCCCTCCTTCTTATGATAAAGTTGTGATAAACGGGAAACAGCACACTCCCTTGCTGAAAATACTGAATGATGCTTTTCGGAACATGAAGCTCGATAGAGTAACAATAGGGCATGCAAATGATATTCAAAATGTGCCGATGCCTATGCCTTTGATTAGAATCTGTCTGTCTCGATCTGTCGCTGTTGATGGTGAAAATAATGACCCATTGAAGATTTAAGTGGTAGGCACTCAATGCCTTGAATGGTACTCACAAATGTTGCCAGTCATAATAACACCGTTATCAAATGTCTTTATGAATGCAGCTCCTTTGCTTTATACATCATTAAATAAGAATCCGAGATTGTTAGCGGTCGGATAAGTTTTGCCATGAATGATAGCAAAGCAGAGAGAAGCCGTGATCCTTCACCGAATCGCAAACTTCGCTGGGTAGCGGTCGTAAGCAAGGAAAGTACCAATTTACATAATCGGTCCCTATCAGTGCACTTACCGGTCTTGTCGAATGAAACATATCAAGGAATCAAAGCTAAATTGTAAACAGCAAAGGCGCTGGGATTCAACTGGTGATTGGAACTTGTTCTCTATGGCCTCCTCTATCGTCAATATTTCCCATTCTGCCCCCTCTACTCCTGTTGATTTTGCTCTCCAAGTCCTGTGGGATCGGGAGTTATGGATTTTCGCTCAGACATTTACTTCGCAAAAACCCCGCCCCCCCCCCCCCCCNCTGCCACCCACCATATGTGTTTTCATCCTGCCGCCTGTGCTCCTACGAAATTTGAACGTCCTAGGTCCACGGGGACAGGAGTTATGATTTTCCGCTGAAACATTTTGTTCGCACAAACCCCGCCCCCTGTGGGCGGAGTCCGGTCCTACTACCCACCGTAAGTGTTCCCATCCTGACGCCTATACTCCTGCCAAGTTTGATGTCCTGCCACCCATCACATGTGCTCCCATCCTGCCGCCTGTGCTCCTACCAAATTTGAACGTCCTAGGTCCACGGGGACAGGAGTTATGAATTTCCGTACAAACAGACAGACAGACAGACGGACAGATGGACGGACAGACAGACGCGAGCGCTTTATATAAAGTGAGGATAATTCAGTTGTCTTCTCGTCGAGTACGGTTAACAAATCCTTCCTCTATTCGGTCAGAGCAACCAGTATGTGGATCATAGGCAGAGAAAATGAGATACGGTTGGTGCTAAGGAAGGACTGCAAACTATGTATATCGGCAGGTTGCCGAGGCAAACAATGACCTGGCGCCGTGGTCGGTATTTTTCGGCACGGCACAGAAATCTATTAGTATGCGCGCCAGCTCATCAACTAGCTCGCGACAGCGGTCTGCCAACCTGGCAATATTTAAAGTTGCACACGGATAACGTAATCAAATGTGGATGGGAAATTCAGGAATAAGTGAAGTCAACAGGGTCAGTTTGCACCTACACTCACTCGCCTTTGAAGTACCTTTCTTGATAGGTCCATTCTTAATTCTGTGTAGGACTCAGCTGAGTTGCGTTTTATTTATTTATTTATTTATTAGAGCATGTACTTTACGTACATGAATTAAAATATAAAATGGAATGAGCCTGATAAAAAAAAACATGAAACCGGTCTGATAAAAACCATGAGGAATGGTAGAGTTTTTATGTTTTAGAAACTTCGTTACAATTCAGAATGATGGACGTGAAAAGAACTTAGACGCTGTAAGGTCTAAAAACAAGAGCGAAAACAGATTCATGTAAGAGTCAAGTTTCAATCTCGTCTGAAGGGGACTAGTAGTTCGCAGAACACACCTTTCACGAATAATTCGACATCTTGTGTCGCTTTTTGTTTTTACGTTGAACACCATTAGGCGTTTTCAAGAATGAAGAGATGAAACGAAGGATGAAACGATTCTGCATTGTGTTTGTCATTACGCGCAAGCATATTATCACATGCGTACCGTTATGCATTCTACTGGAAGGCATTCTCCGACTGCATTAGTTTTGG